CAGGCCCCCGGCGGCCGGGCCGTGGAGTCCCGGGCGGTCGCCAAGAGGGTTAACCCAGAGTCGGGCGGCGCGGCGCGCAGAGCCAGCCCCGCGGCCGGCTTATTGGGCCAGCGCGCGGAGAGACAGGGGTCTGCAGCAAATCACGAAGTAATTGATTAAGGCGAGCGGGTTTGAATAGCGCTGGCCCGGTGCCAATCGCCTTTCAAAGAGCCCCTCTATGATTAATCGCAATGCATTATTGATAATCATAATTATAGCAGGACACATGCGCGCTGTGCCCGGGGCCGGGGAGCCGGGGAGGGGGCGGGCGGGCCGGCGGGCGGGGGGAGCCGCCGCCGCCGCCGCTCGATTTCCGTAATTTTGAGAAGATTTTTTTTAGTAATTTTTTATTCTGCCCCAGCTGATGTTTGAGCCAGCATGTCGCGGAGGAAGCAAGCGAAGCCTCAACATTTCCAATCCGACCCCGAAGTGGCCTCGCTCCCCCGGCGAGATGGTGAGTGCTCCGGCCCGCGCCGCGGACACACAGACACACGCACTCACACGCACACTCGGACCCACGCACACGCGGCGGGCCCCGCGCCCACCGCCGCTCTCGCCTTCTGCACTCGGCGCGTCTGATTTTATTTCATGCTTCCTCGATTTCAATTTGCCGGGCCGGGTTTCCCCCTGCCCCGGGAGAGCCAGCCCATCCCGGCTGGAGCTTTCCGGAGTTCCGTGTCCTCCGCTGGGCGGAGCAGGGTCGGCCGGCCTCTCCCCTCCGCCCCGCCGGTCCGAGGAGCCCGGGCCACAACCCGGTCGCCCCAGGGGCGATCGCGCGGGCAGAGGCCAGCCGTGGCTGCCCACGCGAGGTCCCTCGTGCTCCCCTCGCGGCACCCGGGTCCCTGGGCTGGGCCTCTGTCGCCTGGGCCTCTCAGCCCATCGCCGCCGCCAGCGTTAAAGAAGTTTACTTCGTGCGGGTGGCTGGACGCCTAGCGCGTGGGGAGCTCGCTGCACCCCCTCCCCATCTCTCGTTCCCACTCGGCTAGCGAGCGAAATGTGGAGCCTTTGAGGGTTTCGACCTGTGAGAAGTGGGGACTGGGGTAGAGGAGTGGCATGCTGGGGTCGCGGCCAGAGTGTGCTGCCGGTGGCTCTGGAGACTGGGCTTTGGGACCGGGAAGTGTCGCGGTCCGGCTTTCCAAGTTTAGCCCCTGCACGGTTTCTCCCAACATTTGCACTCAGAATCCCTCAAATTCGGGCTTGGGTGTGTGCTCCCCACCTATTGAGGAGTCCCATCCTTCCAGACCGGTCCTGGAAACGGTCGTTCGTTGGACACTCTCTCGGGTCTGGGGGTTAGCCCACCAGACCCCTGAAGCGAGCAGATGACGAAGGCATGGTCCTGAAAGGAATGGGCAAGTCGGGAAAAGTTTGTGTGCGGGAACTATGGCCTAGAGTAGGAGACACCGGTGCAGGGAACCGGGGCTACGGAGGGAAGACCCCTCCGACCCCAGCGTGACCTGGGCTGTTGCAGGGCAGTTTCCGAGCTCCCAGGCCGGAGCCTCCGCCCGCTTCCCCGGTCACCCGGCGCAGTGCCCGACTCTGCTGCGTAGGTCCACGGCTACCGCTGCCCCTCGGGATCCTCAATCCCGGGAGGCGTTGCAGGGTGTGGAGGTGGGAGCTACACCCCAGCAGAGTTCCGAAGCGTGACCTGGGATCCGCGCCTCTGCCCACTCGGCTTTGCGGACGGCTGAGCCCCACATGGCAGACTCCTTCCCCAGAGGCCTGACTGAGCAGCTCTGGGTGCAGGGACGCGCAGGCAGAGCCCCAGCGAGAAGGGTCCGGCGCTTCCTTCCTCCCCGCTGTTGGGAGAGGGCAGTCCTGGCGTGAGATACCTGGACATTTTTCGGGAGACCAAAGACCCATTAAGACAGCTGTTTGCCCAGCACTTTTTGAAGCTCGAAGCCATATCAGTGTCTGCTTCTCTCGGTTCTTCGGAAAGATCCCTTGAAACACACCCGGCTTCCCACCCCAAAAGAACCGGTTCGAGGGTAAACCAGATGAGATTCACCAAGGCCGCAGCGACCACTCGGACTATTTTTGTGTGGTTTCTCAGCTAGTTTCTTAGGCCTCCCGCCGCCCCCACACCAATCTTTCTCAAAGTTTCTGAGGAGGCTTTTTTTTTTTTTTTCCACTGGAATACTGTTAAAGTTAACAATTTGCATACGAAAAACCCAACTAGGGAGGAGAGAGGGTTTTTTTTTTTATTTTGTAAATTTGTACTGATTGTTTACATTTTCCACGCAAAATTTTCAAAAACAACCACCACCACATCGGGCTTCCGAAGAAATGATGCTTGCTAGTTCTCCGCTTTGAGTCTGGATCTGGAATTTTTAATAGTTAAGGCTTCTCATAAAGCGATAGCATTAAAGGAGTTCACTACCTCTTACTATTATTATTTATTAGTACAATTTTTTTTAGTTTATTTGAGCTTTGAGGTAAGTTAATTAAGGAACTGAATCAAGTTTCCTTTCTTTTTCTTTCTTCTTTTTCACTTAATTTCTCCTTTTTTCTTCCTAAAAGCTAGTTCATTGTCCACAAAGCAGTGATTCTTCTGAGCACCCTAGGAAACACCCCACCCAGGCCCCTTTCTCACCCCCTCCTCTTCTTCAGTAGTAATAGTTTAGGTTATGACTGTTTTTACATGGTTGAACAGTAAGTCTGGAAGAAGTTGCCTAGAGGGTAGGTTTTGTAACAGGGTTACAGGATTTAGTGTGCTGTAATGGTACTCCTACACAAGAACCCTTCCCACCAGCGGACGGTCAGGAGGGCCTCCCAGACCCCGTTCTCTTCATTCGGGAACAGTTGTGAGATGATAGATAGAAATGAAAGTTCATGACACAGCTCAGCTTTGCTTTAAAAAGTCAGCTTTTCTGCACAGAGTCCAACAGTCTCAATCCACTCACCTACATAGAGCATGCGCTTGAGAAGGTGCTGCCCAAACATTTGATATTTTTACTTTGGAAGCAATCCCCTACTCAAATGCCAGCCTTACTTTTTCTTCTATCACAAGAGGGTCTTGCTGTAGCAAAAGAAATAGCAGATATTACCCAAGTACAACGGGTTTGTGCCCTTCTCCCATGTTGTCCCTCAAAACTGTCTGACTTCTACCCAGAACAAAAGCTAGAAAAGTTTGCAGACCCAACCACAGTGGCTCTGAGGCAACCATTCCCCTCTAAGGTTGTGTGTCCTACTTCATGTGTGTGTAGTGTATGTTGTGTTTGAGTCTTACAAGGAAAGCCATGCCGTGCCAAGCTGCCATTCCAACAGCTTTATTCGAAGTTTTGGGGTTTTGTGTGTTTTTATTTTTCATTTTTAAGGGTTATTTAGTTGATCTTAGAACGTTGATAGTTTATTCTACTTGGGTTTTTTTTTTTTTTCTGTTTCTTATGAAACCAGGATTATAGTAAGTAGGATTCATATCTTAAAAGATATTCAACAAGTCTTCAGTTACTTAGTAGAAAGATAACTGGCTTTGGAAAGATTATTTACCAAGATAGATAATTCTTGGAAAAGAGAATGTGTGAATCTAATGATTTAAAATGTAGTTACTTTTCTGTGAATTTGGATTTCCAGGGTGTGTGTGTGTGTGTGTGTGTGTGTGTGTGTGTGTGTGTGTGTGTGTTCACTCCTTTTGGTGATGATTTCAATATTCTTGCAGCTACTTGGGAGACCCATTCTGACTTGATTCGTTTAAATATTTTTATTGCTCAGCTTTTTTTAAGGAAAGGATAATATTAGAAGAAAATTAAAGCATCAGAAATTGGAGATAAAACATTGACTCTCTTAAGAAGTATCCTGAAAGCCCCCCCCTCTTACTCATATTAATAAAGAAATTGTATTATTTACCAAAGTAATTTACTCATTGTAAGCAGCTTAATGGCCACACATTGATTTCTGGGCCCAAAAGGTTAGGGAGAACTATAATGAATTGCTTTAAAAAAAAAAAAAAAAAAAAAACCTGACACCTGCAAGATAAGGCAGTTGGAAAGAATTTGTGTTTAATCAAGCCTATTTTAAGTTTGGTGGAAATGGAAGATTCTGGATGATAAAAAGTGAACTGCTTTTTTGTTTTATTTTGTTTTGAGATTTGCTTCAGGCTGCAGATCCTCTCTAAAATGTTGAAAACAAACACACAGCAAAGCCGGATCAGGCAGGAGATAAAATGTGTGAAGGTGGCTTTTTGGTATGGAGCATTTGGTGGTGTAGTTTACATCCAGTTTCTGGAATGGCTCATGGGCACAAGTTACCAAATTATAGGGTGCTCTTTGGGAAGCTCTTTCTTTTCTCCACGTTTGGAAGCTTCAAGTTGTCTTTTACCAACAGTCTCCTTCAGAAGGCAAAAGCCCACGTTTTTCTGCTTGAGAATCTTTAGGGCGGTGGGGGAAGGGACTCAGACAGGTTCCAGGTTTCCGAACTTAGCCAAGCTCAGTGTGTAGGAACCAGAAAAAATCGAAATTCTTCTACAGTTTAAACATGGCTTTTCTAACACAGTCCCTGGTGCGGAAAGCCTGTGTTCCAAAATACTCTTAGAGGAGAGAGAAGAGACTATTAACCTAAGACTTGACACCCCTCCCCCCCAAAAAAAGAAAAAAAGTTTGTGCCAGGGTTTAGAAAACCTGTGTGTGTGTGTGCCCGTTGAGCTGTTCTAACCTTGGCCGGCCTCCTCCCATGCAGAGGTGACAAGGTCCAGATCATAATATGTCCCTCAGTGTCTTCCCGGTGACCCCCAATTTGGGTCTTGCTAGTCACTTAGCAGGAAGTTAGTAGTTTATTTTAGTTTCTCCTTATCAGCTTGGCTTCTTTTCCTAACCTTATTCCCCTGCCACCCCCAGATGCCAGACCCCCAGAGGGGAAGATTGACAGGTAGTTCCCAGAGCTGAACCTCACCCTCCAACAGCGGGATTTAGTTTCTTGTGACTTCGCCAATGTTTGTGTAGTGAGCGTTTAGATCTCGCCTTAAGGAGTCTCTCTTTTACGCGTCACTGGAATAGGAAAGCCACAAAGCAGTTTTTGAACAAACGCTTGCAGTTGGGACCCCATCTAGTGTTCAGTTTGATTCATCCGTGGGGAAGACATTTTCCCCTTTTATTTATTGTGAGCAAGAGGTGGGCCGGGAGCAGTGCTTTCAATGGAGTATCTTGTCCACGTTATTTTTTCAGAGATTTCTCCTGCATCCTTTCACAGAATCAGGGCTGGCACTGTAAACTTGAAGGAGGCCAGTGAGTTGGTCATTTGGTTGCATACTGCATAAAGGAAACTTCAGACATTACAGACGCTGAAAATATTCATAGCGTATGTTGTGTTTACAGTTTTTCTGGAACCTTAAGTTGGACATTTAGATTCTGTCTTTAAAAAAATAAAAAAAATATATAGAATCACTCAATCAAATATGTTTGTGATCACCTTTGCAAGTAGGTCCATGGGAAGGAACAGCCTGTTAAAATTAGGGGCCCCAACTCCACCACTGTTTGAATTCTGTTAAGAAATGCTAATGTGGTCTTAAGGTAATGGGAAGTAGAGTGGAGGGTCTTTCTAAAGAGCTCCAAAAAACAAAACTAAATCTGGTCGAGCCTGGTGGTTGGTTTCTAGTTTTTTGTTTTGTTTTGTTTTCCTTTTCTTCCTTTCCTGCTTGGCTAAACCTTTCTGTACGAGGCATAGTTTTATTTTTGTTTTCTGAGTAGACAGATAGGCTACAACACTTCAATTTTGTCCTTCCGAGTCTGCTGTGTTTGGTTCAGAGGATGAAAAAGTGACAAATTTGAATTGGATACCTAAATAGCTCACCAAGAGCTTAAACATCTGGAGTTTCAGTGTCGATTTGGTAACAATTTGGTACACACCTCCTTCCTCCAAAAAAAGAACAAAAATACTAAGCATCTTTTCTGTTTGCTGAGGAAAAAAAAAAAAAGCTCTTGCTTCGTAAATGTTCCTACCTGACTGGAATTACAAAATTAATGTGAATGCAAAATCCTTCGAAAAGGATCCGGAATGCGATTTTCACCACAATAGGAGAAACAAGGCAACTAACTGTAGTTACTATAATGAGGTCACCAGTTGCTATCCTGTCTAACAGATTATTGAGAGATACAAGATAACAGAGGATAGGATGAGAAAAAAATGGATTAGAACAGAGGCGTGTGTGTGTGTGTGTGTGTGTGTGTGTGTGTGTGTGTGTGTGTGTGTGTGTGCTCATGCACGCATGCCTGCCTGCCTGCCTGTTATCTAATTGCAACTTAAAGTATTCCTTTTAGCAGTTGGGGCTGAAGGTTCATGCTGGTTTCCTGGCCTGTCTTCTTTCTCTTTAAGCTGCTTCACTGGAATTGTGTTCACAATGCAGATGGGTTTAAAGTTAGGCATTTTAGAGTGCAGCAGCACCTGCTTCGGAAGCGAGTCAAAAGAGATACCACAATTCTGGGGGTGGGGGCAACATGTTCATAAACATCAGGAAATTAAATTAGTTGATTGAACAGTGAGATCGAATGTCAGCTTACTAAATTATGAAAATCAAAGGTCAAATATGGGCAATTTTTAGACAGGGGCTCTCTCTGAAGCAAGCAGGCATTTATTTTGAAGCATCTCTGTTCTCTATCCTGTTAGCATAATCCTAAATATAAAAATGTTCAGGTTGAAAAACTTGAAAATTCTCCAGTGAGTCTTGAAGCCGCACGAATGCAGAATCGCAGTGCAGGGAGATAATAATCCGTTAAGCCCTCCAAAGTAACCTCCTCTTATTTTTTCTATATGTATGAGAATATCAGATGCTTGCAAGTTATAAAGAATTAAAATGCCCTTTAACCGTGAGCACAGATGTGCTAAATATTTGAAGCAACCACATTGTAATGTGTACAATTGATGAAGTCAGTTTTCTGATTTCCCTTGCTGGTTATTTAGTTCTGAATCTGTCATTATTTGTCTAAGCCCAGCTGACCAAGCAAAACTGTGTTTTAAAGTGGCTTTATGTTTTGATAAATGTGAGCTGGTTGAAAAGTATTTTCCACTGAATGCAGAGCTTAATAGAACATGCTGACATAATAGTTTTAATGCATTTTGTTGAAAATGTGTGAACAAACAGAATAGCTTTTGTTCCTTCATAATTGGCTGTAAAAGTAGATGGAAACATAACCATTACATATGGAAATGTGCAAAGAGAAAGAAATAACATTTCTGTTGAATATATTAGGAATTGCATTTCCAGTTTAAAATAAGCATCTGAAATGGATGCATCATTTAAAATCAGTTGTCAAAATACGAAGCTTTAAACAGAATTTTTGTCACATCATTTTTGTCCCAAGTGAAGCAGTGTAACTTTAGCAAATTTCATTTAATATTTTGTTTGTATTATTTCAAAGCAGGAGGAGAGACAGAAAGTGCTTAAAACAGCACCTTCAGTGTGCATGGGAATCTGGTGCCAATTAGGATGATTAAACATTAAATTAAAACTGGATCATTATCGGTATTTTCTGCTACAACTGCGATTTGTTTGGTGTTGTTAATGCATTTTGCACTATAACCCTGTGTAGATTTAAAGATGGGGATTAGGAAAGCTGGCTTATTAAGTATAACTTAGCTACTAAAATAACTCTCCCAGTGAGGAGAGCGTGCATACGTTCGGCATACTTTACCAGGGGCCCTAATGGACTTCCGCATCACTCCAGGCAGATAGGGTTAAGGAATTTTCACAAGTGACTGTTTAGGTGTTAATTGTATTTTCTGAAATGCAAAACTCTTCAAGCTTGTTAGATGCTTAATCCAAAAAGGTAACCTCTGGCTCTTTTGAGTTGACTGGGAGGGGGTGGGGGGGCGGTGAGCAACATTTTGATTTTACATGCATTCATATCTGCAATTACTTTTTTTTCCTCTTGCAAGTTTTCTAGAAGATTCAATTTGGAAGTCATGGAAACTACCTATTATCTGATTCAGCTTTGTAGAAAAGCATGCAGGGAGGTAATCCTTGAATTAAACAGTTTTTTTCACAGCCTTCGGAGATGACCACACACCATTTGTACAACAGAAGTTGGTGTTCCCCATGCTGAGCAAACAAGGGGACGCCATCCTGTCTTTGAATAGGATGTTAGCTTGGAGTTGGAGATTTTGGTGTTTAATTTACAAATGGATCTTAGTGAGAAGACATCTGAGCAACCAGTGAAGACAAACAAGAAATCTAGGGATATATATATCAAATATATGAAAGGGTTTGATATGCTCTGTTTAACAATTGATAACAATAAGAAACAGAGGTTTTTTGTTTTTGTTTTTTTAAAGACATTCAGGCAAAACTTGGCAAACTCTCCTTCAAGCATGATTCCTTAAGGATGGGAGCGCTTCCCACCACATTCTTCTTCGGTTAGTGTGGAGCAGGACTGGAGATGCCACGGCAGTTTTTACAGACAGAAAGACCACTTTTGAGGAGGGATTTAGAAGAGTGCCACTTGGGGCACAATAGCATATATTCTTTGGCTAGGAGATTGATCGCCAGGGTTCATTCCTGAATTTGAAAAATGAATGTGTTGGGGAGTGATACATAGGTCCAGACAAGCCTATGAGGGATTATGTTCCTGTGTGTGTGTGTGTGTGTGTGTGTGTGTGTGTGTGTGTGTGTGTGTGTGTGTGTTTTGCTTTCTCTTTTGAAGTCAAAAACCGGGTCTGTTAGTGATGTCACTGAACTGTGCTTGTCATTACTCAGCCTGGGCTCAGGTTCCAGGCAGGGGCTTGAGGTGATTCTGGAGTCAGTCCCCAGCTAGGTGTTATGCATTTTTCCCCCTTGTCAACAACTGATTGGAACTTGAATGACTACAAATTAGTTTAGTGACAGAACAAACTGTCACAGATGTCTTTGCATCAGTTGAAAATGAATAAGGTTGACAGAAACTCAAGAGCCTAATAAGTCCTCAGCCTGCTTGAGGGACCCTCTCCCGGCAAGTAGACAATCAGTGTATAAAATATTGGAAATCAATACTTCACTATGGAATTTCATTATGTACCAATGTCCTCCTTTCATGGTATTTTATATTTTGATGAATTATCTGAAGGCCATAACTATTCAAGATGCCAGCTGGATAGGAGTCCCTCAGCAACTCAGGTAACACAACCTAGCTTTCAGGGGCTCCATTTGGAGTTTTGCAGATAGAAAGCATTTATGACCCTTTCTCTCTTTTTCAAGTCATTGCTAACAATCTGTCCTGGCTTCGTTTTAACCCTGCACCTTTTGATGTTTATAGGGGACACAGAGAAGGGTCAACCAAGTCGCCCCACCAAGAGCAAGGATGCCCATGTCTGTGGCCGGTGCTGCGCTGAATTCTTTGAATTATCAGATCTTCTGCTCCACAAAAAGAACTGCACTAAGAATCAATTAGTTCTGATTGTCAATGAAAGTCCAGCCTCCCCACCCAAAACCTTCCCTCCTGACCCGTCTCTCAACAATCCTGATGAGCAAATGAAAGACGCAGTGAACAAAACAGACCAAGAAGATTGCAGCGACCTTTCAGAACACAAGGGACTTGACAGGGAAGAGTCCATGGAGGTGGAGGCCACCGTTGCTACCAGCAGCAGCAGCAGCAGCAGCAGCACGTTGAGCAGCATCACCAACAGCGCCACCCCAAGCTGCCACGGCGGCTCCTCCACGGGTACCTCAGCGATCACAACCTCTCTACCTCAACTCGGGGACCTGACGACACTGGGCAACTTCTCGGTGATCAACAGCAACGTCATCATCGAGAATCTCCAGAGCACCAAGGTGGCAGTGGCCCAGTTCTCCCAGGAAGCGAGGTGTGGGGGGGCCTCCGGAGGCAAGCTGGCCATCCCAGCCCTCATGGAACAGCTCCTAGCCCTGCAGCAGCAGCAGATCCACCAGCTGCAACTCATAGAGCAGATTCGTCACCAAATACTGCTGTTGGCTTCTCAGAACGCAGACCTGCCAACATCCTCTAGTCCTTCTCAAGGTACTTTACGAACATCTGTCAACCCCTTGTCCACACTAAGTTCCCATTTATCTCAGCAGCTGGCGGCGGCAGCTGGATTAGCACAGAGCCTTGCTAGCCAATCTGCCAGCATCAGTGGTGTGAAACAGCTCCCCCCAGTCCAGCTACCTCAGAGCAGCTCCGGCACCATCGTCCCGCCCAGCAGTGGCACTTCTCCCAACATGAGCCTAGTGACGGCGGCCGTTCCCACCCCATCCTCAGACAAAGTGGCTTCCAGTGCTGGTGCCTCCCACGTCAGCTCCCCGGCAGTCTCAGTATCATCGCCACCAGCATTCGCAATAAGCAGTCTGTTAAGTCCTGCATCTAACCCACTTCTACCTCAGCCGACCCCAGCTAACGCTGTTTTCCCCAGCCCTTTGCCCAACGTTGGAACAACTGCAGAGGATTTAAACTCCCTGTCTGCCTTGGCCCAGCAAAGAAAAAGCAAGCCACCAAATGTCACTGCCTTTGAAGCAAAAAGTACTTCAGATGAGGCATTCTTTAAACACAAGTGCAGGTTCTGTGCGAAGGTCTTCGGGAGTGACAGTGCCTTGCAGATCCACTTGCGCTCCCATACTGGAGAGAGGCCGTTCAAGTGCAACATCTGTGGGAACAGGTTCTCTACCAAGGGAAACCTGAAGGTCCACTTCCAGCGCCACAAAGAGAAGTACCCCCACATCCAGATGAACCCCTACCCTGTACCGGAGCACTTGGACAACATCCCCACAAGCACCGGCATCCCCTATGGCATGTCCATCCCCCCGGAGAAGCCAGTCACCAGCTGGCTGGACACCAAGCCGGTCCTGCCCACTCTGACCACTTCTGTCGGACTTCCGTTACCCCCAACGCTCCCAAGCCTCACACCCTTCATCAAGACGGAAGAGCCAGCCCCCATCCCTATTAGCCATTCCGCCGCCAGCCCCCAAGGCTCAGTCAAAAGTGACTCTGGGGCCCCTGATTTGGCCACAAGAAACCCAAGTGGGCTCCCGGAGGAAGCTGAAGGGTCTGTTGTGCCGCCCTTCGGCGGAAGGAGTGAAGAGACTGGCGTGACCACCGGCGCAGCCCCAACGGCGGGCAGCAGTACTCTGAGCTCCCCAGTGGCTGACTGTGGCCCAGGAGGGGCCACCTTCACCAACCCTTTGTTACCACTCATGTCTGAGCAGTTCAAGGCCAAGTTTCCTTTCGGGGGACTCTTAGATTCAGCCCAGGCCTCAGAGACATCCAAGCTGCAGCAACTGGTAGAGAACATTGACAAGAAAGCCACTGACCCCAATGAGTGTATCATCTGCCACCGGGTCCTCAGCTGCCAGAGCGCCTTGAAAATGCACTACCGGACGCACACTGGGGAGAGGCCCTTCAAGTGTAAGATCTGTGGCCGGGCCTTCACCACTAAAGGGAACCTTAAGACGCACTACAGTGTCCACCGGGCTATGCCCCCGCTCAGAGTCCAGCATTCCTGCCCAATCTGCCAGAAGAAGTTCACAAATGCGGTGGTCCTTCAGCAGCACATCCGAATGCACATGGGAGGCCAGATCCCCAACACCCCAGTCCCCGACAACTACCCCGAGTCCATGGAGTCTGACACGGGCTCCTTTGACGAGAAGAATTTCGATGACTTAGACAACTTCTCGGATGAGAACATGGAAGATTGTCCTGAGGGCAGCATCCCGGATACACCCAAGTCAGCTGACGCGTCCCAAGACAGCCTGTCCTCTTCGCCTCTGCCCCTTGAGATCTCGAGCATCGCTGCTTTGGAAAATCAAATGAAGATGATCAATGCTGGCCTGGCAGAGCAGCTGCAGGCCAGCCTGAAGTCGGTGGAGAATGGGTCTGTGGAAGGGGACGTGCTGACCAACGACTCGTCCTCAGTGGGTGGCGATATGGAGAGCCAGAGTGCCGGCAGCCCCGCCATCTCAGAGTCTACCTCTTCCATGCAGGCTCTGTCCCCATCCAACAGCACCCAAGAATTTCACAAGTCGCCCAGCGTCGAGGAGAAGCCACAGAGAGTGGGGCCTGGCGAGTTTGCCAACGGTCTGTCTCCCACCCCAGTGAATGGGGGTGCTTTGGACTTGACCTCTAGTCACGCAGAGAAAATCATCAAAGAAGATGCTCTGGGAATCCTCTTCCCTTTCCGAGACCGGGGTAAATTTAAAAACACTGCTTGCGACATTTGTGGTAAAACCTTTGCTTGTCAGAGTGCCTTGGACATTCACTACAGAAGTCATACCAAAGAGAGACCGTTCATTTGCACGGTTTGCAATCGTGGCTTTTCCACAAAGGGTAATTTGAAGCAGCACATGTTGACACATCAGATGCGAGATCTGCCGTCGCAGCTCTTTGAGCCCAGTTCCAACCTCGGCCCCAATCAGAACTCTGCGGTGATTCCCGCCAACTCACTGTCATCTCTCATCAAAACGGAGGTCAACGGCTTTGTGCACGTTTCCCCTCAGGACAGTAAGGATGCCCCCACTAGTCACGTCCCTTCGGGGCCTCTGTCATCCTCTTCGACATCCCCAGTTCTGCTCCCAGCTCTGCCCCGGAGAACTCCCAAACAGCACTATTGTAACACGTGTGGTAAAACCTTCTCCTCCTCGAGTGCGCTGCAGATCCACGAGAGAACTCACACTGGAGAGAAACCCTTTGCTTGCACTATCTGTGGAAGAGCATTCACAACAAAAGGCAATCTGAAGGTACCTGCTCTGCCTGCACCCCACCACCCACCGGCCCTTTCTCATGCCCTTGATTGATGATAGTGCATGCGCATGCTCCTGGAGCCCTCAGCTGCATAGTCAGGAAGAAGGTTCTGGAAAGGGGACCTGCTGCAGGCAGCTGACGGGGGGGGGCTCGTGGAGTGTTGGGGGGGGCAGTGATATGATGTGAAGGAGCCTTATTAGGTCAGGATCATGGCAGGGACAAGGGCAGCCTGTAGCTTGCTTCATGTCACCACGCCTTGAATAATTCGGTACCTAAGCAAAGTAGCAGCCTCTCTCTGCTGTCTCGCTAAGTGCACCAAATGAATTGCTTTACCTACCAAATCAGACAGCCTGGCGTTGCCATGGGGTATTGATTAAAGACCTCCATGTGGCCTGCGTACTGCCCATATCACTTAATAATTACGGCTCTCTTTGGCGTATGCAGCTATTTTTCATAACTGCCGTCTAGCATGGTTTGTTTTTCTAGAAACAGTAACATCACTCCTCTGCTAATGGGCATTATGATAATTGATTACACGACATTTCCTACTGATATGTGTTGGAAATAAAGCAAATATGCTCGTTCTAGAGCAACAGTTGAGCACTCTCGCTGTGTACATTCTTCTGTTGACAGAGTATTTCTCTGGAGGTTGCTGCCAGAAATGTGAAATGAATAATTACGTTCTGGTTTTTCTTTTCTCTGTGCAGGCCCTCCAATGGGCAATCAGTGAGGGCTACTTTCTTCCCATCTGAAAAGGACATTTACAGGGTAAAGGGTGTCAGATACAATACTTACCACTGCAATGAGAGTGGACATAACAATTCTAACCCTGAAAGGCGCTATCTGCGCCTGCCTGGCTTGCTTGAGGCCATTATAAGCTAAATACGGTAATAAAAAAAGAGTAAGTAAGGCTTCTTTGCCCAGGAAGAGGAGAGCCAGCCCAGGGCTGCAGAGAGCGAACACATTATTACTAGACCTTGGGAGTGGATGGTTCCTCGTATCTTCCCCCTGTCTGCCATGTAATAAGAATAGACATTTAGGCCACTTGCTGTGTCGAGTGTTGGGATATGAATTGAGACAGATTCAGCTATTAAGCTTCTGGCTCTCTCTCTCTTTCTCTCTCTCTTCTCCTCTCTCTTCCCCAACCCACATCACAGGTCCACATGGGCACGCACATGTGGAACAGCACCCCTGCACGCCGGGGCCGGCGCCTCTCCGTGGATGGCCCCATGACATTTCTAGGAGGCAATCCTGTCAAGTTCCCAGAAATGTTCCAGAAGGATCTGGCGGCGAGGTCAGGAAGTGGGGATCCATCCAGTTTCTGGAACCAGTACACAGCAGCCCTGTCCAACGGGTTGGCCATGAAGGCCAACGAGATCTCTGTCATTCAGAATGGTGGCATCCCTCCAATTCCTGGAAGCCTGGGCAGCGGGAGCAGCTCACCTATCAGCGGGCTGACAGGGAACGTGGAAAAGCTGGGGAATTCTGAACCCAGTGCTCCTCTGGCTGGCCTGGAGAAAATGGCGAGCAGCGAGAATGGAACCAACTTCCGCTTCACCCGCTTCGTGGAGGACAGCAAAGAGATAGTCACCAGCTAAAGCTGCCAGAGCATTTCCGCTCAGAATGCCGCCCGAGGTTGCCTCCTGGCCCAGCCAGCCCCTTTACCTTCTGGCCCCTGGGACTATGAACTACATTACGAAGACATTCTTTTGTACTTTGTTCAACCTCTAGAGTTCTAAGAAAGCTTATTTATTAGTGCTATAACCTTGCTTTGCAAACAGAATGCAAGCATTAACTTTGGTCTTCTGTATTTTGGACTAAATACTAATGGACTAGAGTGCTGTAAGCTTGCTGTAACATTTATGGCAATCGCAAGTTGCCCTGCTAGGCGTCTTAATCTGGCATTAACTTATTTTCTATATCCAGTTTAATATGAATCTGGTGTTGATGCAATGCCTCCGTGATGCGTTAGATCCCTAATAAAGTCTGTATATAAATGTACACTTTGATCCTGCTGGGAACTTTTATCAGCAAACACATTGTCGAATCTTTCCAAACAGATTTAAGGGAAGGACTTTAAGTACAGGCTGAACATTTGAAAGGTTTGGGTTTTTTGTTTGTTTGTTTGTTGTTTGTTTTTGGTTTTGTTTCATTTTTATTCTAAGCATCAACCTGCTTTTTTTTTTTGTTGTTATTTTATAGAGTTAACCATTTCCGTTTTGAACTGCTATTTGTATTGTGCTTTTTACTTGAGTCGTCTTCAATGTTAATAAGTTTCTGTACAGTAATAAGCACGCAGAATTCTTTAGAGGGGAAAAAAACACAAATGTTTTGGTAGTTGAAACTGAGACGTAGCATTTTTGCCTTGTAGGGTATATTCACAGTAGAAAACGTGTGCTGGAATTTCACAATGCTGCTAACGATAGCATCTTGAACAACCTTCAGTGGAGAAATGTAGATGCTCTTGTATATACAATAAGAAATATCACTTTCATTAAAATGTACATATGTTCCTTACAAGAGCAAATGCTTCTTGATCGAGAGCAGGTATAGTGTTGGTTTATTTTGTATTAGGTATGGAAGGAAAAAAAATGGACTGTTACATGCACTTTCTTGGAAAGTTGAAAGGGGGGGATTCCAATTTCTTTAACATTTAATACTTACTAACAACAGAGATACTGTAATTTTACTCAAGTAATCAAATACATTTTTTTTTTGCAACAGATAAAACAACATACCGTGTCTGTGTTTTTAGAGTGCATTTCTATTTAACCAGATCCCTAAAGGTAGTTTAACATTTCCCCAGGTAGTTGTAAATTGCGTGTGTGAGCGAGTATCTCCTCCAAATAAGAAATAGTAAAGGGCATAACAGGAACGGGCATGCATGAGCCTGCATTTTGTTTTGGTTTATACCTTTTTTTTTTCTGTTTCCTTGTTTGTTTTTGTTTACTTGCTTGCTTGTTTGCTTGCTTGCTTTTGAGATCTGGCCATCTACCTATTTCTCCAATATCCATTTCTTGTTTGGGAATGTATATTACTTTTCACTTTTATCCCATTCCACCTCCCAAGAGAGGGGAGAAAAAATTAGCTGTGGTTGGAGACCTCATCCTGACAGGTAAGTTCCCTCCAACATGATCTGAGGACTTAGATTTCAACCTTAACTATTCTAGTTCCATTTCACTTGATTCTGTGGCCTGTTTTTCCAGGCAGTTGAGAGCTGCATTGCTGGAGAATTCCCCATGCAGCAGGGTTATATAACCTGACTCAGAAACTGGGCCTCAACCCAGGAGGTCAACATTTTCTTTATTTAATTAGTCTTTTAGGCATTTAAAAGCACATGCATATTTAAAAGGAAAAAAGTATAATTCAGATCTGTAGGAGCAACTTGAAACATTTCACCATCCAAGTTCATCTGAGTTCTTCCTTTCTGTCTTTTGTTCTGGGGGCATGTTCTCTATGCACAATTTTAGGGTGAGCAATAGACAGTATGGAAGTTGTCTGCACAGGGGTCGATGAACCCTTTGTCTCAGGGAGGTGATGAATTTCACTGAACCTGGCTATGCCCCGGTGAGGACTCCTAGCAGAAGCTCCCATCAGGCCTGGGCCATTCCAAGGCTACCCTGGCCCCTGCCGCTCCTACCCAAGATTTGTCCTTAAACTCCAAAACCACGAGGGCACGGTTCAAGCGCCAGCTCAGCCTCAGCGTCCAGCCGGGAGTTCGGGAAAGCCCCTGTCTTTGGATCTGACGTCGCGGGATGGGGCCCCCAAACCAGAGGGAGTGGGTGGAGTGGGGGTGCGGTGCAGATGCCTTGGTTCCCGTTCACCTTCAGAGTCTTTTCCTGCCACCCTGCCTGCAACATTTATTTCTCCAAGAATGAGTACCGGAGGAAGAGGCCAGACGCTCCTCGGTTGCTGAGAGGCCACGGTCCCTCTGGTCTCGCATGCAGTGGAGGGGCAGCGCTCCGGGCTCCCGCACGAAGCCTGGGGATGTCGGGGCGATCCCCGGGCTGCGGCCACCGCGAGGGGCCAGGCAGTGACAGCGCCTCTGCCACCCTCCCCAGCCACCCCGCGGCAGCTGGGCCCGCGCTCCTGGGTTGCCGCAGGCCGGCCGGGTCCCCAAGTCTCGCTGGCGGCGCGCTTCCCAGGGGGCTGCGAGGCCGTTTCCGCGAGGGGGCAGGGGCGGGCGCTCTTCTCTATCCTTCGAACCTCTCTTATAGCGTTTTCTGCAAGTTAAGGCGAACTAAAGTAACTTTGGGTTCAGCCAGATTTTCGAAGGACACCTAGGCCCCCATGTTAGAGTCGCGGTCCCGGTGTCTCCTAGCCCCTCCTCCTGCCTTTTGTCCAGACCTATCTGAGTATCGATTGGTTATCATTCTAACGTACCGATCACTACCTGCCCATGCCCCTCCAAGGCCATTCCAAACCCAGAAAGCGCGGAGCCCAGAGATAAACAAGCTTGGCCTTTGATACTCATAGAGCAGCTGGGTGGGTTCCGGCAGAAGATGCAAACGTGCCTTGCCCATCTCCGGTTCTGCCACCGAGCCTCCTTTTCCCCTTCGGGACGACATGGTAGTTTGGATCCAGGTTGGCTGAACTAAGAAGGGTGGTTGCGGACTGGAACTACAATTAAGTTCACACAATTTTAAAACTAAATATACACACTTTGGTGGCTTTTTTTTTTTTTAATGTGAGTTGTGAAGATACCTAAAAATTCACTGGTGCCAATGGCCCAAAGCTTACCAACTTTAAGGACTTGTTTATGCTTCTGAACCCCTGTGTCACTGTCTTTCCCTTCTCTTCCTTTATGATTCCTTCCACCCTTTCCCTGTCCTGCTTCCTCTCCTCCCCCAGTAAGGGCCTCCCTTCCTGGAAAACACCATTGGAAAAGCAGTTGATGATTGACAGTGACCTGGGGAGGAAAAGAAGTTACCACTCCTGCTGGCAGAAACTACCTAAAGATCCTCAAGTAGGGGGTCTGGGAGGAGGGGGCAGGGAAATGAAAAAAGGGGGGGCCTTGCAGATAGATCTATTGGAGATAAACCGAAGCGAGCTTGGGGCGTTGGCTGTTCACATCCTCGCTTCCCAGTTCAGATTTATAAACCGCTGTTAGGGCGTGGGGAGGCAACGGCCTTTTTAAGTTATGCATTTGTTTTTTAAAAGTGTTCAAACAGAAATTCCGAGATGATTTGCAGTTCACGTAGACTTCTAGCAGTAGGTTATTTGCTTATTGTTTTTGGCGTGTTGAGAATGTCAAGGAAGAGAAATCTAAAAGAGAAAAGGCAAAAGAGCCCCCGCTCTGTTAGAACTTCGCAGTTCTGTTAGAAAAACAAAGCCGTGGTCTCTCTGCTAGGAGTGACACACTCCACCCGAACGAAACTAACGACAGAGGGGTAACAACGCGGGGGGGGGGGGGAGCAGCGTCGAGGGAGTTCCAAAGGGTCCCTCGGTAAGGCAGCAATCTGAGATCCACGGAAAAGTGGAGAAGGATAAGACAGGAATTAGGTCATCTGGTCCAGACCCCAGGAAATATGTTTAGATCAAAGGCTGCACTGTCAGAGTACACAAAATAGGACCCACTGGGCCCTCCCAATATTTTCATCTCGGTGCTAAGAAGTGCCAAGCTAACCAGCTCGTTCTGATGAAAGAGGGCTAAAAATCACAACTGTAAAGACGGCTGAGGAGAAAAACGTCCTCTCGACTGTAATAGGAAGATAAAGATTTAGATTTGAGCTCAAGAGTAACAACATGCAGGCCCAGATCAACATAAACTTCCTGGAATTTTAGCACTAAGTAAATTATCTAATCCTAACCCACTGTCCCTTCCTCGTCCATTCCCCT